AATACTTGCTTACTCTCATCGCCGCGCACCTTTTTGCACTTTGTCGCCCCGTGCGCACTCGCAACAGATCGAGATTTTCACAACACTATACTAGTCCTGTGAGGACTGTACTGCTGCACGTGCGCGTAATGCAGACTCAAACAGTCTTGCTGCGCAACGTCATGAGCATGCACATGTACGCGCGTTGATGGACGGCTAACACCAGCTACATGGCGTGTCTAGTGTGATCAAAGGTCAGTCGTTCTTTTCCTCATACTCCTCCTCCCTTTGGGGATGATGAAACATTTCCACATTCGCAGTTTCCACGCTAGCCATCAATCGAACCTAAGACCGATGGACAATGAGCGCGAATACCTTCCTTGGATGTCTGACCCCTCACGTACTCTGTCCTGTCATTGCTGAGATTTTTGCTTTGCAATTACTGACAAGTTCAAACAGATGAGCGATGCCGTTCTGCTGCCCTGGTGAGCACCCTAAATGATTCTTGGTCGGCGACGATGATGGAAATGGTGGCATGCCTGGGTCTAGATAGTGTGACACGATATATAGCATATGAATACCATGAGTTGCGCAAATTACAACTGCCATGTTCTTTCGTGAATCTCTTGCACCCTGTCTATAGCTGCTGAGCTCCGCCTAACCCCAGGATTCTGTTTTCTTGGTACCTGCCTTGACATGAAGACTTGTCCTGTCGCGCAGTATAGAGATAAGTTCAGACTGCAACTCATGTTTAATTCATGCGAAATCGAGGCCGTCTGTCGCGATGGTGAGGCGCCAAGGCCGAGCCTCCAGCCAGCGTCATCTGTCGCATAGACGCTAAAGCATCCTGGTCAGAGCTTCCCCAACCCACTTGGACGGCCGACCTCTAACTTCGTCACCCAACGATCTCCGAGGCTACAGACCGACCGCGGCCCTCGATCTAACGCCGAGCAATACTACACCTCTCCGAACCGCCCACTACCGCCACGATGCCTGAAGTTGTCGACCCCCGCATGATCTCGGTGACGCCTAGGATACGATACAACACTATTGGAGGCGTCAACGGTCCATTGGTCATCCTCGACAATGTGCGTAGCTTGCGCCCATGAGACGGAGTGACAAGAAGCTTACACATGTGGTGGATAGGTCAAATTCCCGCGATACAACGAGATTGTGTCCTTGACTCTGCCCGATGGCACCGAGCGCTCTGGTCAGGTCCTTGAAGCTCGAGGTAAGCTACTCCAATCGTGACAGTGCGCCGAAACACTGACACAAGCTGCAGGCAACCGCGCCGTCGTCCAGGTAAATTGCGACATGCTCAACTCTCCCGGCAACTCGATCTAATTGCGACGCAGGTCTTCGAAGGCACATCTGGTATCGATGTTAAGAAGGTACGCACACACAGTCCTTTGCAAGACGACTATATCTAACAGTCGCAGACCAAAGTCGAGTTCACCGGACACAGCTTGAAGCTCGGTGTGTCCGAGGACATGTTGGGCCGTATCTTCGATGGTTCAGGAAAGCCTATCGACAAGGGCCCCAAGGTGCTCGCCGAGGACTACCTTGATATCAACGGTAGCCCCATCAACCCATACTCGCGAGTACGTACCTAGTTAATACCTCTTATTCATGCGACTGACAGTGTGTAGGTTTACCCCGAAGAAATGATCTCCACCGGTATCTCCGCCATCGACACGATGAACTCGATCGCCCGTGGACAGAAGATTCCCATCTTCTCCTCATCCGGTCTCCCCCACAACGAAATCGCCGCGCAGATTTGCAGACAGGCTGGTCTTGTCGGAAAGCCCTCCAAGGGTGTACACGACGACCACGACGACAACTTCTCCATTGTCTTCGGTGCTATGGGTGTCAACTTGGAGACCAGTCGCTTCTTCACGCGCGACTTCGAGGAGAACGGCAGTATGGAGCGTGTCACTCTGTTCCTCAACTTGGCAAACGACCCTACGTAAGTAAAGCATGCATGCGCTACTGCTATCCTAGCTAACCCAGCGTAGCATCGAGCGTATCATTACTCCCCGTCTTGCCCTTACAACCGCCGAATACTACGCCTACCAGCTCGAGAAGCACGTCCTGGTCATTCTTACCGACTTGTCATCCTACTGCGATGCGCTACGTGAGGTCTCCGCTGCCCGAGAAGAAGTGCCCGGTCGTCGTGGTTACCCCGGTTACATGTACACCGATTTGTCGACTATCTACGAGCGTGCTGGACGTGTTGAGGGCCGTAACGGATCTATCACTCAGATTCCCATTCTGACTATGCCTAACGACGGTATGTACTGCGACTTCTTTCACTCTGTGCTAAGCTAATTGCGCCAGATATCACACATCCCATTCCCGATTTGACCGGTTACATTACCGAGGGCCAGATCTTCATTGACCGTCAACTCGACAACAAGGGTATCTACCCTCCGATCAACGTCCTACCATCCCTCTCCCGTCTCATGAAGTCTGCCATCGGTGAGGGCCGCACACGGAAGGACCACGGTGATGTCTCCAACCAGCTCTACGCCAAGTACGCCATTGGTCGTGACGCCGCTGCCATGAAGGCAGTCGTCGGAGAGGAGGCCCTGTCCTCAGAAGACAAGCTATCGCTTGAGTTCCTCGAGAAGTTCGAGCGCTCCTTCATCGCCCAGGGTGCCTACGAGTCGCGCTCCATCCACGAATCTCTCGATCTCGCATGGTCGCTGCTCCGTATCTACCCCAAGGAACTCCTCAACCGTATCCCAGCCAAGGTGCTCGACCAATACTACCAGAGGAGTCGGGGCGGTGACGACGGTGACAAGAAGAAGGGCAGCAAGGATACCAAGGACAACTCGGGCGAGGGCCAGCAGGATGACAACTTGATCGATGTGTAAGCAAGATAGTTTAGCATGTGTATGTGTTTAGGATGGTGGATGGACTGCTTCTATGGCCATGTTCACTGAGCGGAATGTGGGTAGAGATACTGCATTGAGTATATATGAATTTGTCGAATCTTTAATCTAGTGTACTTGTCGGCTTGGGTCATGTGATGTAGATTTGAGAAACGAAGTATGTTCGCGCTGCTGGTTGATACGACGACGGATAGACTTTGTTCATATCGTTCCACATATGTTGTATACACCTTGTAGGTCACTTCTCAACATGATGGTTATTGAGTACTACATCTATTTCACTTTGAATCTACGACATCACCAGACCTGATCCAGAAGCCTACAACAGTACGGAGCTCTGTCATACTGAGCACCATGCCCTAGCCAGGCGTCTACAAAGCCCCTCATACTATCCAGCATGCCCCTCCTCAGCGAGGTGAGGAGCATACATCTGTGCTGTACTTTGCGCTTTGCACGTGCTATTTACACCGTCTCTTCCACGCTCACTTCGACTTTCCGCTCCTCCCCCGCACCATCCCATCTCCCTTCACCATGGAAACGCGCGCGTCTTGCAAACGCTCTTGTTATGAATTTCACCGTCACCGTGAAAATTTGCCTTACCATGTTATGATATGATATCTCCCCCCAGCGTGACTTTCCTCTCCTCTCCTTCAACAACAGCCAGCACCGTCTCCTCCGCGCTCACCCACCATCATTTCCGTGCCGCTGTTGCTTTGCCTGCTCCCTGGCTCGCTGCCGCCGGCACCGTCGTCTCCTCCCTCGCTCGTCGGTGTCGCCGCTGCCACCATGGCGAACCCTGGGGCCAACCCGTTCGTCCTCCCGCTCGTCCTCCCAGGGGGCCCGCCGCCGCTGCCACCACCACCAGTGTCTGCGCCCGGTCCGCGTTTTCTGGACGCGGCCACGCTGCCTGCAGCGTGGGGGAGGGCGGATTGGCAGAGGTATGTGATGTGTCTTTCTTTGGTCTTTTGCTGTTTTGTTTTTGGGCGTTTCTTGCGTGCGTGCGTGTTTTGGGGGAAGGGGGGTATGGAAGGTAAGTATATGGTTGGACGGAATGAGCTCGACATGGGACCTGGTGAAGCAGTGGTGCAGAACTGGGGAGATAGACAGCTACACAGAGCAAGAAAGAGATGGTTATGGAGCTGAACAGTTCTAAAATGCTTCGAAGTGGATGGAAACAGTAAGTTCTGCTCTACAACCTAAAGAGCTTGAGACTGATGAATGGGTTGTTGCTCGCTGAAGCTCGATTGGAAGGATTTCAAACTCGACTCCCAAATCATACCGCATGACACAGGCCTATCTCTCAAACCAGCGACACTACATCCAGAGGCAGACATCCACCCGACAGAAGATTGGGCTTGATTCAAAACTGAAGCCAGGAGACCTCAGACACGAGAGCAGCTACTGCATCTTATGTCAAGTATAAGCCTGAAGTATACATACTGATCAATGGTACAGGGAGTTCGCCAATGGAATTGTCTTCCGGCCCGGCATCGACCCCAAGGTCCAGGTGGGGATCCACAACGATCTGGCCAATCGTTGGGACCGAACCTCCGTCGTCGACCAGTTCGCCTTCGGACGGTGGAGTGAGGCCCTTCTCCCAGTGGGGGCGACGGGAACCCAGGTGTACGTCAGAGAAGGCTGGCACCAGGAGTCGGAGCCTCATTTCACCGTGGAGCTGAGGTTTGTGTTCGGCACCACGGGCGTGCACCGGCACTGGGCCACCGCCCACGTTTATTTGGACTTCTCGGAGTCCGTAATCAGAACGTGTGATAAGGTGGACGGCCGCCAGCGCTGGTGCTTCGTCAAGCCCCTCTGGGCCGAACACCACAGGGTGTGGGACGTAAGTGTCCTTTGTTACTGAAGACCATTTAGCAAACTGACTAACTTTGGCAAGTCGCGCGGACCGAGACCGGTGGTCTTACCATGGCCGCCGAGGGGGATGAGATATGCCCCCAAGTATCCACCCGTCTGGAGGTAGGTGATTTCATCTTGTTCCAAGAGATCCCAAGTCACTTGCTCCATCTCCCTTTCCACACTTCGCTTGATAGAGCCTTCGCAGGTCAAGCCATTGTATCAATTCTTCTTCTTCAATTCCATACGCTAACCTTCTTCACTACAGCTCAGCGGCTAGTCGCGACTACCTTTCCGTTCTGGACTTTCTCCCACCGCTATGGGAGACCTAGCTTCCTCGCTCGTATGTGTGTAGAACCCCCCAAACATCCCCCACATCCTCTTCCTCAATCCCTCAAACGGCTGCTCGCCCGGCCTTGGGTTCATCGGGTCCTTGCGGAAGTCGTGGAACAAGACACCGTAGACAACGATGAAGCTGATCATGCTCCACTGCACCACCTTGGTCCACTTGTTCCATTCTGGCCGTATCGACTTCGCCTTGATGCGTCGCTTGAACTTGCGCTCGAACCGGAACTGCTGCTTCTCCGTCAGGGCGCGCAGGTTCGGCGGCCATTTCTTCTTGGCTGGGTACTTGTTGCGCGCGAAGTCGAACGGTGGGAGTGTGTTCTCGTGGCGGCCGAGGAGGCGGTTGATGAGGCGCAGCATCGTCGCTGGCTTTGTCCGTTCGACGACGGCGACAGGGGTGTTCGATTGACTTGTGGATTCGCGGTGTTGTTCCTGAGGATACTTGACTGACGTTCTGTACAGTGAAGGCACCGACTAGACCGCCCCACAATTCGCGCGAACCGAAAAAAAGTGTGACTAACCCCGTCCGCACGCACTGGCCACCCTCCTCCCACCACCCCTCCACAACACCACACTTTTGTTCTCGCGCTCTTTACCACTTCTTTTTACGACCGTTCTTCACTTTTCTGGAATTGTCGTGATGGCGGAGGCCACAAAACTCAGCGACGCGCCAAAGAGCGCTGTCGCCGCAACATTAGAGCAGCTCAAGCCGCAAGAGGCTGAGTCAAAGACACTCAAGATTGAGAACACCGAAAAGCGCGACACATTGATCGCCGAGGAGAAAAAGTACCAGAAGTCATGGGAAGAGCAGGGAGTCTTCAACCCCGACGCCCCATCTCTCGAAGATGAACCCTTTGACACCACCACACCGGATGAACTTCACGAGAAGTACCCCAAATGGTTCGGTTGCTTTGCATACCCATACATGAACGGCACGCTTCACGCTGGTCATGGTTTTACCGCTAGTAAAGTCGAGTTCACCGCTGGTTTCAGAAGGATGACTGGCGCGCGCGCTCTCTTCCCATTAGGTTACCATGTGACTGGTATGCCCATCAAGGCATGCGCAGACAAGCTGGTCCGCGAGGTCGAGATGTTCGGACAGAACTTCGAACGCTGCCCCGTCGAAGATGTTGTCGAGACTTCAGTACCAGAGCCGCCAGCGCCAACACAGGCCGAGACTAAGACCGACATCACCAAGTTCAAGGCTACGAAGGGCAAGGCCAATGCCAAGACCGTCAAGACAAAGTACCAGTTCCAAATCATGCTCGCCCAGGGCATTCCCCTTGAGGAGATCCACAAGTTCTCTGACCCTTACCACTGGATCGAGTTCTTCCCTCCACTAGCCAAGAAGGACCTCACAGCATTCGGAGCCAGGATAGACTGGAGACGTCAGTTCGTCACCACCGATGCGAACCCGTACTACGACAACTTCGTTGCTTGGCAGATGCGCAAGCTGAAAGCCTTGGGAAAGATCATCTTCGCAAAGCGTTACACTGTCTACAGCCCGAAGGATGGCCAAGCATGCATGGACCACGACAGACAGTCGGGTGAAGGTGTCACCGTTCAAGAATACACCGCACTGAAGATGAAGGTTGTGAAGTGGGCAGATTCCGCAAAGGCTCATGCTGGTGCCGTCCCCGAAGGCGCTTCTTGCTACTTCGTTCCAGCCACGCTCCGCCCAGAAACCATGTACGGTCAGACCTCATGTTTCGTAGGACCTGCGATCAACTACTCCCTAGTCAAGATCACCGACACCGAATACTACGTCCTCAGCGAGAGAGCCGCAAGGAACATGGCATACCAAGGCACCACTGCCAAGTGGGGCGAGTACTCCATTGTTGCTACCTTCCCCGGTAAGGATGTTGTCGGTACTGTCGTCAACGCCCCTCTTTCCGTTCACAAGGATGTTTACATCCTTCCTATGGAGACCGTCAAGGACACTAAAGGTACGGCTGTCGTCACATGTGTTCCATCAGACTCACCAGATGACTACATTACCTCATTTGATCTTGCCAAGAAAGCCGAGTACTACGGTATCCAGAAGGAATGGGTCAAGTTCGACGATCTCTTGCCTATCATCGAAACCCCCTCTTACGGTAACCTCACAGCGAAACGCCTGGTAGAGGAGATGAAGATCCAGTCACCCAAGGACTCCGCAAAGCTTGCCGATGCTAAAGAGAAGGCTTACAAGGAGGGATTCTACAAGGGCAAGATGGTACACGGCGACTTCAGTGGAAAGACGGTCGAAGAAGCGAAGCCGCTCGTTCGCAAGCAGCTCATCGAGGCCGGTCACGCCTTCCCGTACGCTGAACCCGACGGCAAGGTCATGAGCCGAAGTGGTGACGACTGTGTTGCAGCTCTTCTCGACCAATGGTACATGAACTACGGCACTGCAGCGAATGGTGGAGACGGCGAGTGGGCCGAGAAGGTCCGCTCACACATCGAGGGCGAACTAAACCTCTACTACTCTGAGGCGAAGAACCAATTCCTCCGAGTTGTCGACTGGCTCAGCATCTGGGCGTGTGCTCGCTCCTATGGTCTCGGCACCAAGGTACCCTGGGATCCAAGTGTGATGGTTGAGAGTTTGTCCGACAGCACAATCTACCAGGCCTACTACTCTTTTGCCCATCTTCTACACAAGGACATGTTCGGAAAGGAGCCCGGTCCCCTCGGCGTCAAGCCCGATCAGCTCACCGACGAAGCTTGGGATTACGTATTTGCTCTGCGCGACCGCTCTGATGTCCCACAATCCGAGATCCCCACAAAGACCCTACAAACTATGCGACGACACTTCGACTACTGGTACCCGCTCGACATGCGCACCAGTGGTAAGGATCTAATCCAGAACCATCTGACATTCAACCTCTACGTACATACCGCCATCTTCCCGAAGGAGAACTGGCCGCGCAGCTTCCGTGTCAACGGTCACTTGCTACTGAACGGCGACAAGATGAGCAAGTCTACCGGTAACTTCCTGACCATCGCTGGTGCTGTCGAGAAGTTTGGTGCCGACGCCACACGTATTGCCCTTGCCGACGCAGGAGACGAGATCACAGACGCCAACTTTGAAGAGACGGTCGCGAACGCCAACATCCTGAAGTTGTTTGAGCTCCGCAAATGGTGCGAGGACCTGATGAACGAGGCTATCTACGTTCCCGATGCGGCCGCCTACATGGAGAAGAGGACGTCTGGATCGGTCAAGAACCCAGACGTCATCCAGCGACAGAGCGGCAGCGAGCATCTTCTTTTCGACAAGATGTTCGATAACGAAATGAACGTTTTAATCCACGAGGCTTTCGGACACTACTCCAACACATTCTACAAGCTCGCCCTCAAGTCGGGATTCTACGACTTCACCAGCGCGCGCGACTTCTACCGTGAGGCTACCAAGGCAGCAGGCATCGGCATGCACCAAGACCTCGTCAAGAAATTCGTCGAACTCCAAGCCCTCCTCCTTACCCCCATCGCACCTCACTGGTCAGAATACATCTGGCTCGAGGTACTCAAGAACAAGGAAACCGTCCAGAAAGCCCTGTGGCCCCAGGTCCCCGAGCCCAACGCGTCGCTCACAGCCGCCCGAGAGTTCGTCCGCCAAACACAGACGAACATTACATCAGCAGAGGGCAACGCCATCAAGAAGCTATCCAAGGGCAAAGCAGCTACTTTCGACCCCAAGAAGGAAAAGAAGATCATCATCTTCGCTGCGAAGGAATGGCCCGCTTGGCAGAAAAAGTACATCGACATGGTCCGCGACGCCGACACCCTCGACATCAAAGCCATCAGCAAATCCATCGACAAGTCCGAGTCCAAGAAAGCCATGCCCTTCATCAACGGTCTCAAGCGCCGTCTCGATAACGGCGAGCCCAAGGATGTCGTCCTCAACCGCGAACTCGCGTTCGATGAGCTGGACACCCTGCGCGCTATGGTGCCTGGATTGAAGCAGACTGTTCAGAAGTGCGTTGATGTCGAGATCGTCACTGTTGGTGAAGGTGGCAAGGATGGTACTGTCATCAAGGAAGATGGTAGCAAGGGTGATGCACGGTCGGAGCTTCCACCGCAGGCTGCTACTGCTGAGCCGGGTTATCCCAGCTTCGCTTTTGAGAATGTCGAGAATATGGCTGTGCGATAGGTGCTGGTGGACTCAAGAGGTGGACTGGATTCTGGGTGTTGGGTTGGGTTGGGCGCACGCTTTCATGTAACGACACGATATGATTGATGTGCATGGATGATAGGATGGATGGATAGTAGATAGACGTCGTATGATATGACCCTTGAGAAGGGTTCTGGTCGAAGCAAAAGCCACAGAAGTACCAGAAGACATTGTACCCACCCCACTGATGTCTTGCTCCTTGCACATTGTTTGCGTCTTTGATGTCGTGACATGGTGACTGACCATGAACTGGTACTCCATTGTAAATTATAACGATCACACTTTTGGTCCGAAATTATATCCACCTACATGCCCAAGGCTCCTGCCAACCCCACCTACAACTTCGCCCTCGCATCATCAACGCGATTACCCTGCTGATCAAAAAAGATCTTCCGCCCACTCCTCAAACTATCCTGCAACGCAACCCCAATCTTAACCGCCTCCATACTACTCTGCAAATCAACCGGCACCTCACCCCCCTCAAGCACCGCATCCGTAAACTGCCTCGCCTCCTCCACAAACGCCTGTTCAAACCGCTCATAATAATTCTGCGGTATCTCCCTATTAATCCCATTGCTCATATGGCTCTCCAACAAACCCGTCATGGGGTTTGAATTCACAGCCAACTTGCCCTTTGTGCCGATGATCTCAGTCATGTCGTGCTGGCCAGGGGCGTTCATGCGCGAGCTGTAGAAGTAGGCGATTTGCCCACTGTGGAATTCTACGACGCCGACGCCGTTGTCGACGTCGCCGTGTTTGGCTAGGTCGGGCTCGAGGGCTGTGACGCCGACGGCCATGACGGATTTTACGACGGGGAGGGTGCGGCCGCGTGTTTCGGCGGAGAAGTACCATAGGGCGAGGTCGATGTCGTGGATGTTGCAGTCGACGAATATGCCGCCCGAGAACTCGGCGTAGGCGACGAAGAAACCCGAGGGGTCGTATCTGTGGGGGTGGACGTGTTAGTGGGTGTTGTGTGTGTGCTATGTGTGGGACTGGGGCGTTGCTTACTTGTCGCAGGTTTGTGAGCGCAGGATCGTGGGTCGTCCGATGTCGCCGTTGAGGGTCATGTTGTAGGCGTTGACGTATGAGGAGTCGAAGCGGCGGGAGAAACCACACATGACTTTGACGTGCGGGTTGCGCTTTGCGGTGTCAAGGACTTGGTGGACCTAGATAGTACGATTAGTTATCGACCCTCAGGATACGGGATGGACAAGATGCATACCACGTCCAGCTTGGTGCTGAGCGGCTTTTCACACAAGACGTGCTTTCCAGCTTCAATCGCTTTGATCGTCTGCTCGGCGTGTACTGTGGTGACGGTAGCTACACAGACAGCCTCGAGATCCTCATGCTTCAACATCTCGTCGTAATCGGTGTAGATCTTGACGCCCCATGGCTCGAGATTCTCCTTTGCCCAAGCGATTTCGTTCTCAGCGGGTGTGAAAGCGGCTACGAGTTCAGCTTTGGGTGTGCGGTGGAGGAAGTGGTTGGCATGGCGAGCGCCCATGCGGCCGAGGCCTGCGACGGCAATACGGAGTCTGCGGATCGCGGGTGCCATTGTGGAGGACGTGTGAAGGTGGAAGGGAGTTGATTGAGAAGCTTATGATTCGAAGGAGCTCTACAGTAAGAGCGAGGAGATATATGCTCGACTGAGCACCTGCGGGAATACACCGACTTTCAATCCCCCAGAATCCTACCTTGGTCAAAGCTCCTCTCAGGGTCCAAACTAGGCTCAAACACGCAAAAGCAGTTGCTCCTCCATGATCCAGTCGCCGAGTTTCGTCCTCCCTACCATCCGCGTAAACCAATATCCATCACTGCGTCTTGAAGCCACCCGTCATTCCTTCCCCCCGGGTACAAGGCCCTAGATCACGCGGCGAACTTCCCTACGCTGAGCCGCACATGCCACGTCTGGACCGGATCATCGGCACGGGCATTACGTCGATGGCAGATGCGGAACGCGAAAGCGCTGTGGAGAAATGCATCTTGTGTTGACGGAAAGTGTGGGGAACGCGTCGAGTGGAGTCGCGTCGCGCCCAGGCACAAAAGGCGGAGTTGAGCGAATGGGGAAAATCTCCTCTTTCGATCGGGTAGGGCGAAATTACTCCGCGCAAAAAGGCCGGCTGGCGACGGGACGTAGTTCACTAATTCTGGGGTATGATGCGAAGATTTCGCGTTGTGGAGACGGATGGCGATGATGGGGGAGGCTGGGGCCGTGGTGTGTGGGTGAAAGAAAGAGAGGGTTAGCGACAGTTCACATGCTCGATGCAGGAATACCGCCGTGCTTCCCCGCATACGTCACTTGTTTACCAACACCAGAATAAGTGCTGAGAGGGAAAGATAGGATCAGCTTTCTATTGTCCGTCGAACAAGATCGAGATCGCAACTGCATCGCTCTATTGCTACATCGTTCTACACATATGAACACCAACTTTTACTGACTACTTCAAAGATTCGACTTCTCTTCCTCACCAGTCTCAAGCACAACCTTGATGACCAGCTTGCCGCTATCGTCTTTGGTCTTTCCGGCCATCTCGAATGCCTCGACTGCCGACCCCAAGCCCTTGTAGGTGTGTGTTACCAGCTTAGCAAAGGCAGGGTAGTCATCGCCTGTCTTTGACACTACTTCGATACCAGTGGGGTACGTGTTCGCATATCTGAACACACCAAGGATATCGACCTCACGAAGTGCAGCTGCGGAGATTGGTAGTGTTTGAATGGGCGTGCCCATGCCGATGAGCAAAACCTTGCCGCCGGGTCGTGTTGCCTGGAGCTGTTAGTATTCTGTCGACTCAACTACGCCGGGCGAACTTACATATATCGATGCTTGAACACATGACGGTACGCCGGTGCACTCGAATACGGCATCTACCTCGCCAATCTCACCACCACTCTCCTTGGACAGCTTTCCGACCTCGGCAGCTACTTCCTTCGCGATATCCAGCTGCTCTTCTATTGTGCTTCCACGCTTCATAGGCACTGTGTAGCTGTGGTGCGCAAACTTATTGTCGACGGCGAATTGCACTCGCCCAGCGTCAATGTCTGCTATCACCACGGTGCCAGCACCTGATATCTTCGCCATGGCTGCCACAAGTAGGCCTACAGCTCCGGCTCCAAAAACTAACACGGTTGAACCTGGTGCTAGTTGTGCGCGTTTCGATGCTTGGATGGCGACGCTGAGAGGCTCGAGGAGGGCTCCTAGATCCAGCGACATATCCTCTGGTAGCCTGTTCATCGTTAGCACTATTAACAACCACGTCGGAAACGAGACTCACTTGTGACACCAAGCAGCCGGGTGATTGATCCGATCTTGTAGCGTACCCTGAGCATGCGGAAACGCCTTTGCACTACTCCGGAACTTCATGCCTTTGCAGATGTTATACCGCCCCTCTTTACACCTCTCACAGTTCTCGCACGGCTGTCCAACTTCCAGCGCGACCTTATCTCCGACTTTGAAACCCGACACCTCTGAACCTACGTCTACAACCACACCAGCCGATTCGTGGCCCAGCGACATGGGCTCTCGCACGATGATGTCGCCATTGCGGTAGTGGCGGTAGTAGTGAAGATCTGAACCGCAGAGACCGGTACTGCGGACGCTGATTTGAAGCTCTGTTGGGGACGGTGGGAAGAGAGTGCGGTTTTCCTGGCTTTATGTTAGTGTCTGCAGGCCTGGGGGACTTCTATGTTGGCCATACGATTCTCAGATCTTTTGCTCCGTGAAGTACTGAGGCGCGGATGTTTCTCGCGCCCTGCGCAACGTCTGGTTTGCTCTCTGAGGACATGTTGTCGTGGTTCGTAGTGCACTCGGAAGTATGAATGTACAAGTGAAGCTTAACACGCGTGTTATAGTAACGTTCAGCTTAACGGCAATGTAAGGTTGAAGCTGTGAAGTGAGGGAGAAGGTTGCTGGAGCATCAGTTCAGCTCGCAAAGCATCGGAAGCTATCACGCGCCAGACACTCGGCGCGCCTTGCCTCATAGTACAGCAACAGATGGAGACAAATTCCACCTTCGGCGTTTGAAATGGCGGGACATCAGATGCCGACGCCTCGTTTGGGGTGGTGGGGTTGGCTTTCCGAGGCAGTTCCGAGCTGCCCCAACATCGCGCTGCAAGGAAAAGCCGTCGACTTCTGCCGCAGGCTTTCAAACTTCTTGGTTGCCTCTTGCTAGATTTCTGAAGTTGGTTGCTCGAGTTGCTTGTCTTTTTAGACTATCAAATAACCTTTTGCTCCTTACCTCAGCTCTGATTCCTCTCCAACAGCATTCCGAACCACACTTACCAAGTCCACAACATGGCATCCGTACAGCAGCTTTTCTCGCTCGAGGGCCAAACCGCCCTCGTAACAGGCGGAACGCGAGGCATTGGCCAATCCATGGCCCTCGCCCTCGCAGAAGCAGGAGCAGACATCCTCCTCGTCCAAGTACGCCCTCTCCCCTCTCTCCTCATCCCCTCCACCCACTAACAACCCTCCCCCCAGCGCGACACCAGCAACCAAACCACAAAACAAAAGATCGAATCCCTCGGCCGCAAAGCCACAATCTACACAGCCGACCTCTCCTCCAAGTCCTCCATCACCGCCCTGATCCCCACCATCCTAGCCGACGGCCACAGAATCCACATTCTGCTAAACTGCGGCGGCATCCAAAAGCGACACCCCGCGCACCAATTCCCCGACGAAGACTGGGACGCCGTCCTGCAAGTAAACCTGACCTCCGTCTTCCAACTCTGCCGCGACGTCGGCGCACACATGCTATCTCAGCCCGCAGACCTGCCCCTCGGTCGCCGCGGAAGCATCATAAACGTTGCATCCCTCCTAACCTTCCAAGGCGGGATTACGGTGCCGGCGTATGCGGCGAGTAAAGGGGGTGTGGGACAGCTTACCAAGGCGCTGTCGAATGAGTGGGCGGGTAAGGGGGTTAGTGTTAATGCGATTGCACCGGGGTATATTGCGACGGATATGAATGAGGCGTTGATTAAGGATGAGAAGAGGGCGGAGAGTATTCTGAGTCGCATTCCGGCGGGGAGGTGGGGGAGCCCTGAGGATTTCAAGGGCGCGGTGGTGTTTTTGGGGAGCGCGGCGAGTGCGTATGTTAGTGGGGAGGTGCTTACTGTTGACGGGGGGTGGATGGGTAGGTAGGTTGGTAGGTAGGTTGGTAGATAGGTTGGTGGGAGTGGATGGATGGACAGGTTTTAATGGCATGTTTTCTTGAGTAACTTGCATGGACAAAAAACTTAGTCTTGGATCAAGGGATTTGTTGACTTGACTTCTCATCTCATCACACGAACCGTCTCAAGGCATTGTGATTCCCTAGTTCTCTGAAGCACTGAGTTTGAGTGAGACATCTTCAGCGAATTCCAATGTCTTGTTGGGTATAGATTTTTGTTCCTATCCTACATGCACAACCTACAACTTGCTTGCCCCAAACAGTCAAGGTCCGCTGAGATCCATGCCCTCGGGCTTATCCGGGAACCCAGCGTTGACACCAAATGGCGGGTATACATAGCGGGTAATACCCTTCTCCTTGTGAATCTTCTCCAACTTCTGCATATCCTCGTCGTCAAGGGAGATGAGCTTCTTGTTCTCGTCGATGCGGGATGGGGTTACGGATTTTGCGAGGACGGAGGAGTTGCGGGCGACTTTATGATGCGTTAGTAATGTGGGTGTGAGGAATTGGGTGGGTGGAACTTACGGTGGTAGCTCAGTAGTACAACGGCAGGGCCGACGCTGTGCTTCTTTGCGACTTCGTTGACGCCCTCGTCCTTGAAAAGTGGTGAGCCTGTGCTTCCGAGCGGACTGTAGGCTGTGATGTGGATGCCCTTCTCCTTGCAGAAGTCGACGACTTCTTGTTGTGGGCACAGTGGGTGGTTCTCGATCTGGTTGACGGCGGGGACGATGGTAGCGATTTTCAGAAGCTTCTCCATGTACTTGACGGAGTAGTTGGCGACACCGATGGCCTTGACCTTGTCAGGGTGTGATTGGATCAACTTCTCGAGGTTCTTCCATGTGTCTTGGTGGGTGATGGAGGTGTCAATGTCTCGCGAGCCGTCCTCGTGCTTGGGGAAGAGGGGGTGGTTTCCTGCGCGTTTGTTAGTTGTGTTTTCGTCTTGTTTGGAGACATTAGATTTACCCTTGGGGTTCATGGGAACAGGCCAGTGCATGAGGTAGAGATCCACATAAGGTGTCTTGAGCATGTCCAAGCTCTTTTGCAGACCCTCCTCAGCGCGAGTGTGGAATGTGCACCAGAGCTTGCTGGTAATGAACAAGTCCTCTCTCTTCACGATGCCGCGCGAGATAACATCCTGCAGCGCCTCGCCGACTTCATCCTCGTTTTGGTAGCAGAAGGCGCAGTCAATGTGTCTGTAACCACTCTCAATGGCGTGGACAACAGCTTTCTTGACCTCGCCAGGCGCAGACTGCCACGTTCCCAAACCCAGGGCGGGGATGGTCGCGCCAGTGTTGAGAGGGATAGCGGTATTCATCTCGGGCTGTGGGTTGAGGATACTCTTGGGTGTACTCTTGAGCATAAACTTGGAGAGGGCGGGATTCATCGCGACTCCGGCTTTACTTAGGTATTAGTAGCAGTGGGGTGATGCTGGCCAGGCCAGGGGCAGGCTTGCTCGCATTGCTTGGAAGCTTCCATATTGTGGCTGAATGTTACGCTTCCGGCATGGCTCAGGACATAAGTCAACCGTGATTGACTCTATAATTCATTCCGAGGACCGATGCTGCCCCGCCATGCGTCCCCCGCCGGCGTAGCTTCGGTCCGGGGAGGCTTCTGATACGCGCTCGACGCGCTTCAGCCTCACGCGAAATTTTCGCAGGAGACGACGCCCAGGAAAGCCAACGTGTTCGTGGGGTTGGTCGGGGAAGGTGGCACCGAGCGTCACGTGCTTGGAGGGGCTGGAGTTGGAGCCAGCTGGGGCGTCATAGTGCAGCACGTTTTCTGGGCTACTGCAGCCTTCCGAGTGTTCACGACGAGGTGAAAAATCCATCGGCTGTTGGGGCGGCGAGAATTGCCGTTCCGAGACACGAGCGGCGAAAGTTGCACCCTTCAACCCCATAGAGACGCGCACGATGCATGCCCACCGAACCACGGCAGATCTAACGCAACTAACCAACCACTACGGGCGGAATGCCAAACTGGACCCTTAGCCGCCTTTCCAGAACCCCAGATCTCGCTCCGATTGCTCAACGGCAGATTCCCAAAACGGGGAGAATTGCCTCATGGTGCAGACTTATCTTTGTTCGAGCCTACGACGGCCCTACGTAGTGCGGAGTGACCTCCACGAGTGGATCTCAAAGATGGAGACGATGAGAAATCTGACTCCAGGAATTCAGGCTGGGCTTACTTCGGAAGTGATGATGTTTGCTAGTTCTGGCAATACCATGCTGCGTCGTATCGAGGTACGGAAAGGATAAGTACTCCTCTCATCTTGTCTCGAATACACATCAATCATACCATATTCTCATCTACATCTTCAAACATCACTTTACAGCCAAGAGCTTTGTCGCACTTTGTATACTTTTAAGATACCCCTCATCTTCACCAACCACCCTTTCCACCATGGCACCCGGCGCCATCTTCGAGACGCCCAACGTGGCTGAGAACTTCAACGACCACCGCGATGGTCTTGCCCTCGAGGCGACTTCCGACGCCATCGACGACGTCAACGTGCTCAAGGCCGCCATGAAGGTCAAGAACGGCACCGCAACCCAAAAGGAGAAGGACATCTACGAGCAATCCGAGTTCGATGCCGAGAAGGACAAGACCCAATTTCGCCAATACGAAGAAGCATGCGACCGCGTCAAGAACTTCTACCGCGAGCAACACGAGAAGCAAACCGTCGCCTACAACCTCAAAGCGCGCAACGCCTTCCACAGCAAGACACGCGCCGAGATGACCATCTGGGAAGCCATGGAGAAGCTCAACACGCTCATCGACGAATCCGACCCAGACACCTCGCTCTCGCAAATCGAGCACCTCCTCCAATCCGCCGAAGCCATCCGCCGCGACGGCAAGCCACGCTGGTTCCAACTCGTGGGCCTGATCCACGACCTCGGCAAGCTCCTCTTCTTCTTCGACGCGCAGGGCCAATGGGACGTAGTCGGCGACACATTCCCCGTCGGCTGCGCCTACTCCCCCAAGATCATCTACCCGGACACCTTCAAGAACAATCCAGACTACAAGGACGACATCTACAGCACCGAGCACGGCATCTACACGCCTGGCTGCGGTATGGATAATGTCATGTTGAGCTGGGGCCACGACGAGTACCTCTACCATATCATGAAGGAGCAGAGCAGTATCCCTGATGAGGGTCTTGCGATGATCAGGTACCACTCTTTCTACCCGTGGCACACGGGTGGTGCGTACAAGTGGATGATGAACGGCAAGGATGAGCGCATGCTGGATGCTGTTAAGGCGTTCAACCCGTATGATCTCTACAGCAAGAGCGATGAGGTGCCTAAGGTCGAGGACCTCAAGGAGTACTACTTGGATATCATCGATGAGTTCATCGGCAAGGACAAGAAGTTGAAGTGGTAGACTGGCGGTTGGTCTGCTGGATTAACGAGTTTCATTTGTTATGTGGCGTTTGGGTATATAGATGACGCGGAGTGCCGAACAGGCCCGCGATGTAATTCAGTTCTTTTTCGATTATGTAAACTCACTATCTTTATTTGAAATACTACGAAAGCGTATGATTCGTGAGGTTGATTTATGCATCACTTCAGAGTACAGTCTTTGCATCACTGACACGAAAATCTGTCGCTCATCATGACTGTTTCTACTTAATGAATCTTACCCGTCCAAAGACTCAGGCGTAATCAGACCTCAGAAGGCCCTATTCCCGAGACTCGCTCTCACACTACTATACTATGGACGTGCATGCTTTCTAATGCGTAGCAAAGGCGCAGGCTTAGCAGGGCAACCAACACGACTTGGCGCTAGGTAACCAAATAACTGAATATTCTCTTCATGCGCAGCTATTAATACTGTAAAAGCTTCTACCGTATTATAGATATAAGCTGGTAATGCAGCATTTTCTTCCCGTTCTGTGTGGCTTTCTTATCGCACTTAGGCCCTGAGGAGCGGTGCATAATGGGCTATGCGAAAGCCCATGATACCCACGCCTGAGAAATCCAGTCTACCTGATGAGTATAAAATCGAGAAGCCTGCTGAAGTAATGCGCGTCGTGATTTGCCTGATCCAAACTGCTCAAGTCGTCACACGTGGCGGTGTACCGGTGAGTCAACATATCCATAGATGTTTTACAGCCTGGCCTATATCAGCCTCATGATTTGGTAGCGAATGATCAGGCTTCGATAGCTGTGAGACGCCCCCTATGAAATCTTTCAGCTGTTGTGGCGGTGTCTTGTTGGCCTAGCTCTTCGTAGGCATTGCAACATGGAGGGGTTGCCTACAGGAGGCTGAGTGCCTAGGTGGTCAGCCCACCAAAACTCACAGTTATAAAGTCGAGTGTCCCAAAGGCCTCGAAGGTCGAACGGCTAGGAAGCCTTCCGTTGCAAAATAATTATTGCAGCCAGTATTCTACAAGATATTGCTTTACTTTCGCTGAGCTCGTGCAGTGCCGTCCTTGTCGTCATGGAAAAGTGTATCGATGAAGCGCGCGATAGCCTCTTGCCTTCCACAACAGAGCCCGAGCTGGCGATATCTCGTCGACAAACAACGATCAATTTTGGCCTGATCGGCGCTGCGTTATGGAGTTTTGGCGCTGCACTAAGTACGATCGTATTGGCGCTGGAGGAACGAAGTGATAATGCAATGCTGAGAAGCTATCAGGATGTTAGTTCAACCACTGATGATCGAATGAACATAGCTGACAATGTACCAGTTGGTGGGCACTCCCCTACAACAATCACCGAGTGCTGTTATTGTCGGCAGCATCGCATCATGCACAGTAGGATACGTATCGGCATGCATGTATGCCTACTGTCGAGCTCCCAGCCTCGTCGCCTTCTCTGCCAGCGTATGCATCGCTCTTGTTTTCATCGAGGGTCTGTGGAATGGGCTTCACATAAATCTTGTTGAAAGGTTGGCTGTTTTGATGCCTACAGCTGTCAATATGGGCCTAACGTGGGCACTGCATCGTCAAAGAGGTAGCCTACGGCACCCCATTCTTTCGACAGCTTCTGTTGCAGTGTAAATTATCGTTTTCGCATGGATTTGAGTATCAGAATGAATGTTCGAAGCGATGCTATAGTCTCCGAATGGCGTGACGTTTGCAAAGTCCTTTGAACCCAGGTTTTCGTATTCGCGTTCATACCACGCGCCTGTGGCTTGATGCTGCGGTTTGGGCTACTGTGGCGCTTCGCACCACACCGACGCAGCACTTTTGTGCGTTGGTAACACATCATAGAAACTAGAATCATGGATGCCTGAAGTAAATTGTTGGGTTTAAACTGTTTCTGAACGCGCAGACGCCGTTACCCATGGTTCTAGGGTTGTGGACAGATACCCAGGTGTGTGAGCTAATCTGCAGGACGCCCCATGTTAGTGGGGTATGTAGGATGCCGCCGGGTCCATGGCCCGTGTCTTGCCAGGCATCGTCACTAGGCCCAGAGAGCCATCTCCGTCCATGGGTGCGGGAAGGATCCTCAGGCCAAATACCATACCTTGGTCTTCGTGTTGAGCAGCTTCCTACACCAAACATAATTATTCCTCAAGGCGGTTGGTGCCGTATCTACTGTACGTCAAACTGTCGCTTCCTGAACCCTGCCCTCAACAGCTGGAGACATGGACTGGAAAGCTGCTGACAAGCTTTCCTCTTATAGCATTCGGGACTGCCCATCATCAACTGTCCGGCATCGACGCCAGAAACCATGGCGACCGCAACGAGAGCGAGCGACGGACTTTCCCGTGAGGATAAGCGACGCAGGCATTACAGACAGCACATCCAGGGACGACAGAACCCGAGTCAAAGCCAAGACCACAATCCCAGACAGGAAGCGGCGGAGACGAATCCAAACCAACGGCTCAATGTCCCGACTGCGCAAAGGGGTCGCCTATCTCGCGGGCGAGGCGGTGGTCGCGGTAGAGGAGGCTCATTCGCACACGGCCCATCTGCGTCGCGCAGTGGTCAAAGCCACCAAGGCCGACACTTTACCAATGCGCTACCAATCTCTCTGATGCAAGGTCCCATACAGACCATAGAGCAGACGGAAACGCAAACGCAAACGAGCTATGTCACAGAGGGAATCCGTCACACGCAGTGGGAGACTCGTACTATCCATAGCATGAATGGCTCCCCAGTTTGTGCAGAAACGTCGAGTATCCTGACTCGAACCGAATCAACAGGCTGGTCCTCGATGGACTATTCTTCGACCATGGAGGTACATACTCCGGCTAGTGAGCCCCCCGACCCATGGCCTCATAGTCCGGGCGGCCACAACTATATGGGCACGGGCGCTCAATTCGCACCCGAAAGCGAAGGTCTATTAGCGCAAATCGAATCGAACGATGCAACCACAATCCAGAACAAGAGCCTCGCAGCCGCTTGTATCTGTCCCGTTATCGTCGTCACGAGCGATGGCAAGGCCGACTTCATCGACCCGGGCGCGGAGCAGAACGAGGTCGATACTGGCGAGGACGAAGCTGGCGAGGACGACTTGCTGTCGTCAATCCCTTTGAACATGTCCAGGGCTCACCTTGACTGGGTTCAGCTCGAGAGTTGGCTCGAGACGCTACCGAAGCGCATCCCGCGTGTCTCCACGTTTCCGACGATGGGCATCGCGCCCGCTGGCGAAGAGTCGGTAAGCTATCGAACTCGGTCGATCTTTATGATGTTCATCCACTGACGCGCCTACCAGACAAACAATATGCAGCTCTTGCGCGCCACGACCGAATGACGCTCGAGCGGTCAATACCCTGGTTTTCAAGGCATGTACGGGCGTTTGGGATTGTTGTTTTTTGTTGCAGTGGCGTTGGATATACCATATGGGTGGCATTCATGGGCACATACGGAATGGCTTGCAGCGGCGTCTGTACATTGCATGCGAGGAAGAGTGAAGCTCTTTCGGATGCGTGCGGGATGATAAATTTTTAGTGGACGGGGTTCCCGAGGTCAGGTCACCCTCGGTACCGCGCAGATCAGCGCAGCATCGTCTTCTTTGTTCAGGCGTTACAAATAGCGACTGCGACGAACGCGGATTACATCTACATATCCCCACCTCTGTCGTATATGTCTGGGTATGCGCAAAGCTTCGGTTTATTGCTTGCAAACGTCATGCGATCGCCACCCGATTTCGAAGCAATATACGTACATCAAGCTCGCCGCCGCTGAGGCCACATAATCGCCGGGAGTAGCCCCACGAAACTTGTCTGCACAAATTCTCTCGTCGTGAGCATACAACACACATTGCCTGACGGTCAGTAGACATAGCACGAAGATGTTTGGGACGGCAAGTATAGAGTTCCAAATGATATATTCAAGAGCGCAGGCAGCATCTCAGAGCATTCTTTCCAGAACACCCTGAGCGCCATCCGGCTGGGGAACTCTAGGGGCTATCTAGAGTAGCAGCACAATAAAGCGTCCCACCTTAGAAGGGTGGTGCTGGGTGACAGGCTAACATAAAACCCAAGAAAGGCGTCTAAGCACCGGGCGGCAGGATATACATGGCCGCAATGCAAGCCCACATGAATGGGTGCGTCTGCTATGCAGAAACGAAGCGAGAACGCTAGAGCGCTGGAGCGCTGGACAATGACCTCAAGAGAAAGCGCCAAGGCACTGGGAGGTATGCAATGCTGATGGGACAAAATGGAAAGGACACCACGCTAAGACCGCTTCTTAGTGAGATATCAGGGCTAACTCCGGGTTTCTTGTGTAGTATGGGTATCATCAATCGAGGTCGCGTTAAGAATGGAAGAGTGGTTGCTTTTGGGGGACGACGAGGATGTTGTGTCGATGAGCGGAACGGTGGTACAGTTGTAGGTGTTGGAGGGAGTCGAATCGTTTGGAGATCTCGCGTTCGGTGGCAAGAGCGAATGGCTTCTAGACATTGCTCCCAGGCCGAGGGCGAGCTCCATATGTTTGTAACTCGGTACCACCGTTGAGACCCGGGCCGTCGCCGTTGGGGTTCGTTTGGGGTGGAGGCTGGGGTCCGATGTCCCAGAGACCGTTCCAGGTTGCGCGCAGTAGCCCAGACTGTGGGCTATCGGCTACGGCTTCGATGCCAGCACGGACGATGATGCCGAGGTCGATGATTAACGGGCCCCAAACGAACCAGTCAAACAGGTCCTGACCAGCCCATACCATGAACCCGGTCATGCCGAGTGCCAGGACTAGGGTGCTGACTGACCAACTACCGAGTGTTAGATACCGGCAGCGATGCAGATCAGGGCAAGAGCTTACTAAGGGTTCTCTTTAGCATACCACCAAGTGATGCCGATGTATACGACAGTGCACGCGGACCACACCGTGCTTGTACTAACAACGGTTAGCGACAATATTGAGAGAGTCCGTAAGTTGAAGACTTCGTACATGAGGTTCAAGATCCATAGAGGGAAGCCATTGATGTTGTTGAAGGGATGCTCCTTGTACCGAGCAGCTACGTTGAGAAAGAAGTTCCAGAGACCGAACAGCAGCATGATGCCAAACACAACACGCCTCAGGATACAAGGCGTGCCCGTAAAATTATGGGGCGACAGGGCCTCCATTATACCTCCTTGGCAGTATATGTTCCGGCGGTCAGTGCCGTTGCCGATGGTGGGGTGAGTGGAGGTGATGCAGGTACGGAGAGTGAGGGATGATGGACGGACAACCACGTGGTGGGTGTAGGACTGAGAAGACCGATAAGGCCGTTGTGATTGGGCTTTTGGGCGACGGCGGAGCTAAGGATTCGGGGTGTTGAGGTGTTGAGGGCGCTTCGAAAATACGGCGGGCGGCGGGTGGCAGGCGCAGAGGGTGTGCCTGTTGTGCAGTGGATGGAGGCACAACACAGGTCGAGCTTTGGGGCTTAAGATGACTCCATAGTCAGTCTGGAGAGGGTGGTGCTTGGAGAGAGGTCTTGAGGGGTACTGAAACGTGGGGCGTGGGAAGGGGAGCGCAGGTCTTTAACGCGCCCAAAGACCATGAGATGACAACACGGCCTATGTCCACTTCCTTGGTATTTGGTGGCGAACTACGCAGTGCCAAGCGGTCGAGTATGCCTTACGCAGGCTGCCCGCATCATCGAAACCCCTCTTCACACTCATATGGCAGCTATCGTTGCAGAAACCGCTCTCTATGCTCGCGGGATTTTGCGCTGTCAGTCCGCTTTCACAACTGTAAGAAATTGAAACCAGGCCAACATCTCGACGCCAGGTTCTGCCCCCATTCTCTTGTCGTTCTTGTTGCTCAGCCTCAGCATAGCCCCGTTCCGTTGAGTGATAAGTCTCGAGGTCCTCCAAACACCCACGGTCATTGCAACTTAAAATCGCGCATCAAGAGAAAATGGCTTCCTCAGTAAGTTTGAAAATATCAATTGCAAAAAAATGAGCGACGATCGTATTGTTGCTGACCTTGTTCATCAGAGCCTCGAAATCACGGGCAAGCGCGAGCTCGTGAGGAGAAGCAGCTGGGAAACTTCTGCGCATAGGCGACCAGGGCTACTGATTGACCTTGCTACTGGAATCGCAACATGGACTTCAAGTACTACATTGAGTACAATAGTTGTCGCACTGCAGGACCAGCCAAGCGAAAATCCCATTATCAGAAAATGGCAGAAAGTGAGTTTTCTCGTTGTGAATAGCGGGTTGAAACTAATAATTCGAAGGTGGCTACTCAGCCTGTAGAAGGCGCCTCCGTACAAGTCATCTTCGCTTGTATCACGCTCTGCTCAACAATTTACGCTGCCTCATGCATGCGGATATACTGCACAGCCCCAAGGGCTGTAGCAACGATTTCTGCGGTGTGCATTTTGCTGGTTTTCTTCGAGGCAGTCTTCAACAGTCTTCAAGTGACCCTGGTGGAAAGGCTAGCAGTGGTATTACCAACATTAGTCAACATTGGTCTCACTTGGACGATTGTGCTCCGACATAGGAAGCGCTGTGAGATTGCTCTTCCCAGTTCAAAGCTGGACGTATGACAGGCCCAGCCATTCAAGGCGTTCTATTCTAAGGCTGTGCTGTCTCCACTCACGTCATGGGCTGGATTACTCTCGACGTTTGGCTAGGACACCAGAGCGTTCCGTCTTCGTACCATACGTTATTTGTAGCTACATGAATACACTTGCGATAATGGAAGTGACAGTCGTAGAGACGGCTTCAAGCGTTTCTGACAGTCGCTTGATACACACACATGTCATGCAGCGGTGTTCATGTTTGACCAAGCTTGGTGGCGTTTTTGCTTTGTCGCGTCGACGTGTCCAGGTGGGGTCAAATGGGCAGGTGCCTAGAAGGCTCAGCCACGCAATCAACTCCTCCTGCAGGACGCTTGTTGCGCAATTTACGCGCTTACTACCGTCACAGCCTGGTATCATTGCCCTCAGCTGGTGATGCTGTGGTCTTGGGAGACAAACTTGCTTTTCCAGCTCTTTCACATCCTTTTATCTTGTGTTCACCTCTGTGCCGAGCACAATGACTGCTGCAGCTGCTACATCACGACGAGCTATGCTCATGACTTTAGGGGCATGTATTATGGAGGAAAGCGCGCAATCAGAAGATGAAACCTGCACTGGTCAGTCTCCTAAATCTTTCTGCACGCATGAGTACTGACACGTCTTGAGTTGCTCTCGATGAAAGTACACGGTACAACCAACCTCTGCCGACTGAGCAAACGATTCAAACGATTGTTATCCATCCGTCCCAACGCGAACAGAAGCGCAAAGCATACTACTATAACCACCTCGAGCCGAAAGCCAGGAATCGCATACGACAGAACAACAAGCCAAACAGAAAGGGCCAACGTAGTCTTGGCTATGAGGGTCATGACAAGTCTCACCACTCGGTGAAAGAAACTTGGAATACTCTTCCGAGCCATAACGCACATGCCCAGTGCTCTTTCAACGAAGCTTGTTCGTCACAGCAGCCATTCGGTGGGTTATACAGTAAGAAGGTCGTCCAAGTTACCAAAACCTACTACTATGTCGACCCAGAGCTGGCTAAGAGCGCTGCAGCACCGCCAACGTATGGAGGTCCACCTCATGTCCCATGGGCACGAGCAGCAACCGAATTTGCACCATATTCGGTAGAAGTGCAAACCGCGACGCAATTATCAACGGCTTCCAAAGAACCTTTCACACAACAAAGCCAGTATGCACGTGTTTCAACACCAAGAGCTGAATCTAGCTTCCCATCACAGATGCTGCCGCAGCCACCGCAATATATGCCCTTTTCCACGGTTGCGCAGCAAGAAGCGTCTGCGAATGGCCCTCGGACAAGCGCTCTATTTGGCACACGCTCTGGGAGGATCGATTTTCCTCATGTTGGCGTCTCGATCGCTCCTGTAGGTACGCCAAGATCTAAGCCACTGGCTCATAAGACTTCCTCTAGTGTAGGATGGCCCGAGCCCGACATGTACGGCTATGATGTCGAGCCTGGACTGTTGAAGCGGACACAAACCCACCCATCTTTCCTACAGGCCAGTAAATCAATCTAGGCTTTTCGTGAGTACCTCATTTTTAGCCCCTCCTGGTAGTTCATCTTGCACTGGTACTTACTCTTTCAAGGCCATATGAATGGAGCATTTTACTTGGAAGAATGCGCGAATTTCGCCAACAGACGAGCTTAGGTAGTAACGCGGTCGGAAACTCGGTGATAGCGCATACGACCACGAAGAAAGACAGATTGATACGGTATGTAGTTCTATGCGCAGGAACGGGCGGCTAATATTAGGAGCGGAGTTCGGCGGCTAAGTTAACATAAGTAGGACGCGGGCGTTGTGCCAGCGAAATAATAGCTCAGTGGGCAGCTACTAGCAAATTCTCGCTGTTGTGTGTCCTTTTTTGCATCCTTCCGGCTCCTCATTTACTTGCTCAGCCTACGCCCAGGCGCCATCAAACCTAAGTTGTATCCCGTTGGTAGTAAATATCAACGGTTCGAGCGTCGGCACCTCAAGATTGCGATGTGAGATGTGCCGTGGGCATAAGTTTACTCTTTTTTTTAGGTACTACAGTAATTAGAGTAATATAAAAAAGAACTACACAACAACTGTGCAAAGAACAGATGGGAAGGTATTACAAACACAGAAACTAAAGTAAAAGAAAGAGAACTCCCTCAAAGCCACCACTGTTAGTAAAGATGACGCGGAGTGCCGAACGAGCCCGCGATGCAATTCACTTTTCTTGATCTTATCGCTCGGTCTAATATGCATTACTTTGACAACGTGTCGCTTTGGATTGTGAAATGCTCACTATGTACCACTATTCCTAAGTTACTACCTCTGCCAGTTCAATTCTTACATATGTACCTAACCCCCCCTTTATTATGCTAGTCACTACGATTGTAGAGCTAACATGAAGTCTTCCTCTTTGCCTTGCATTCTTCGCATAGGTCACTTGCAGCTAGACGCTCGTCGGCAGAGTGAGATCTACGAACAGTGGGGCAAAGTTTGCACTGTCTCTGCTAGACCTCGCCTGTGGCTGAACGTGTTTCTAGGTCTATCTCTCTGCCGATCGCTGGCGATGGATTGATCGGAGTGCTAGAGACACCTCTTAAGCTGGTTGGAACAGCCGTCTGTTCACTAGCTAACTTCTTCGTAATACTGGGCAAGCTAGACTGTGACGAAGTTGCTGGCTTCCTATCGACTAGCTTATTGTCGTTGAATGGATGTGAGGTATCGGCCGTGGATAATTGCTTTGATGTATCACCTAACGATAAGGGCCTAATGAGACTAAGGGCATAATCGCTAACACGAAGTTCTTCTAGACTTGGTGGATTGGAACCATACGTTTGTTGGGCAGTGATAGTCATGAAGCGCTCTGGTGGACCTGCACGGGGATCTAGGATGTTCCGATAGCTACGATCGTGAATATCGCGAACATCATCCTTATTCTCGAGCTTGCGTCTGGAGGGTTTGCGGGACATCTTCTGCTCGTAGGAACGGGATTGGTGTGTGCTACGGATTGAGCTGAATATTGTTTGGGGTGGTCTGAAGAGGTACTGGCTTTGCGGTTCCTGCGTAGAGTCTGGTTTGAGATCATCGCTTCCGAGGTGAGTGTCTGTCGCGGAGTCTTCGTTACTACTCGAGATCGGCATTTTCTCTTCCTTTGCAGTGTTCAAATCATGACCCACGGATCCATCTGCTTGAGCTTCAGTAGTAACTGATCCGACCGCGAGCCCTTCTAGCTTCTTCTCAGTAAGGTGCACATTGGCAGGCGTATCTTTGTCCAGCTCAGCAATGACAACGTTCATGACTGCTGGTGCAGGTGGATCTTGTGGTGTCTTTGCTTTCGCATCGTTCTTCTCGGCTTCGACCGACATGACTGTATCTCTAGTAGTGAGTTGCTTTGCGGTCCGCGCAGAACAGGCCTTAGATTGGGAGTAGAAGTAGTTGAGATTCGTGTCGCGAAGCAATGCTTGTTAGTGGGGTATAGTCGAGTGATTGAATGTTTGTGCCCATGATCAAGAGAGATTGTACTCTTAACGCTACCTGATGTTCCTCATTAAGGTTTACTACCACCAACACAGAGGCTCTTGGGCAAAAGAATCGCCATTGAACAAAACCTTGGGTACGGCACATTCGCAACGCCTAGAGGAAGAGCTGCGACATGACCGAAAGAAGTGAGCACAGTAAAGCATGCTTCTTTAAGAGAGAAAATCTGAGGTAGACAGTACCAGAGCGGCACTGTTGAGCGCAGCTCACATCAGGCAGGCACCAGGTATCCAGGCAACGACGAAGCTCCGACCAACGTACCTATCCATCGCACCAAACCAAAGACACATATAGAAACTAATTGTAGAACACCAACTACACATTAAAATTGCAATAATACAATCCCACGTTCGTGCGCAATGCTGCGTACGTGCCCACCGGAAGCCCGCGGCCCCTCCCACCGCCCATGCCCAGCCAGCCAGCCACCCACGCACCAACGCGAGGTCATCCCAACCACCAGCCTACCCATCCCACCACCACCGTCATCACCATCTTCCGCGGACCTCAACCCAGTCCAGTCCCCGCATCCACACCCACCCGCCTATGCACTGACACCGTCGCGCACCGTTCTGCAACGTTATTGTAGTAAACACATGGTCCCTGCTCTATCTGCCTTACCCGTTAGTCCCCACAACACCCTCCTGATCACCCGCAATCTGATACACACGATCTGCACCCGGCCGGTACATACGCGTCAGCAGTCCCCCACAAAAGGAAGTAGCTGCTGGTATGGGTATGGTACTTTGTAAGCACGACAGACGCACAAACCCTCATATATGGGGCCGCGGAGCGTTGGGAGAAGAAAGGTGCCCCCACAGGGCTGAGGCTGATGCTGATGATCTGCTGGGGCGGAAAAGGATAAAAGTGGAGGGTAAGGCTGGAGGTTAAGTTGACTTCATGTCTTTGACTCCATGTCTTGAGTTGCGCGATTGACTTACTTGTCGACTTGTTTACTTGCCATTGTGGTCGTTGCGTGACTTGCGCTAGTTGCTGCTTTGACGGTGTGCCACGTATGCTTGGCGTGAGCTGTGTAGCTCAACGCGAGGTGGGTTTGGGCAACGTGTTCATGGCGAGTGCTTCACGGCAGGACACAGTTGGTTACACAGTTGTTCCGAGGGCGGTGACACGAGCAGACAAAGAGGAAGAAGATCAGTAAGTGTCAATACAGCCATGATGGAAAGAGGAATGTCGTGAGAAATTATCATTGAGTTACTATCTACAGGAGCCAATGCTAATGGCCCATCCATTTCCCATGTCGGGGTATCAATCGCAGTCATAAAAGACTGCCCAGGCACAATGAATCCGTCATTATCATTATGCCTTCGCGTGAGTGTTCGTTAGGAAAGAAGAGAAAGCTGCGCCATGCATCCACGTATCCAAAGCCCGCCTCGCATTACCGACCCGATGCTACCAGTCATTATACACATTACTCCATCGAGCGAGGACCTTGGTTCAGACGTGAAGGTGAAACGCTTAGAGCAGGAGCCATGCGGCAATACCGGCACCAGCGAGCATGGGCATGCCAGTGGCCTTGGCGGCGGCGCCATCAGCGACGGAGGAGGCAGCGGAGCCAGCAGCGTCGGTGGCAGAGGAAAGGGCAGAGCCAGCGGAGTCGGTAGCGGACGAAGCAGCGCTGCCGGCGGACTCGGTGATGGAAGCAAGCTCGGAGGCAATGCTTGAGCTGGCGGAAGCGAGAGCACCGCTAGCAGAGCTGATAGCAGAGCTAACCTCAGAGGCGATGGAAGAGGTGACGCTCTCGAGGCCAGAGGCGGCGCTGGAGGCAGCGCTGGAAGCCTCGCTGACGACAGAGGTGATGACGGAGGTGACAGCTGAGCCATCAGACTGGACAGCGGTGGCACTAGCGACGGCTGAGGTCAAGATGGGAAGAGCAGCGGGGGTACCAGAGCCAGTGGCAGCGACACCAGCGCAGCGAGCGTAGGCCCACTGAACGGCGGAAGCAGACTGGTCGGCGTCGCAGGCCTGGCGGGTGCAGTCGCGGATACCGTAAGCCCAGTTGGACTGAGTGCAGAAGCAGCTGATGTCGGAGCTCTCGCACTGGAACTCGGTCTGGGCAATGGTGGCCATGTTGTTGATGCACAGGTTCTAAGCAACTGTTAGCAATGGCCGGTATAGTCAATGGCAGCGGGGACACTTACGGCGCAGTCACCGCTGGGCATGGGCATGTCCTGGGCAAGAGCAGCACCGGCGAAGGTGGCAGCGAGAACGGCGTAAGACCTCATCTTGACTGTGGGTGGGGGAGAGTGTTTTTGGTGAAGAGGATATTGAAGTAGGATACTAGGTATCGAAGTGAGAGTGAGTCAAGGTGAGTTGAGAGGTGCTTGAGGTTGAGGATGCTGGATGAGGAATTGGAAGAGGGGGCAGAGAGAGTGGGTTTATATCGTATTAACACAAACAGTCGGGGCTGGGCCATGGCTGGTTAGTGAAGTTGCGCGCAAACAGGAGGCTGCAACGGGCTGGGTGACGGGTTGGCGCGTCAGTAGCGGAACTAGCGCGAGCAGGGAGCAGCAGCCAAGCCCAGGCACAGAGACTCCACGATCGCCGCCAGAGCAGGGAAACTCGGAATGCACGACCGGTCCCCTGCGCGCCCATTGGCCAATGCGTCCAGCGCTCCTACCTTATGATGTAGCCACGCCAACCACACCCCAGGGCCGATATCCGAACCTGCATGTACAACTCACATGTCGAACCAGCTTTCTCGTCGCGACTCGCTCGACTGTGGTATCCGCTCCGTCACCTTCGTCATGCCTTCCAGCTCCACAGTCACGCTTTCACAGCATCCTGCCCGAACTCGACCGCTGCTGCGTACAAGCTGCCGCCGCGCTGGTGTGACGGGCTACCAAATTAATCAAATCTTGTGTGCATTCAAGCACTACCAGTCGTCGTGACGTCGAGATAGCGGCTGCCGCTTGGTGCTTACCCGCCCTTTCATTTCCGTTTCACAAAGCTACCAAGAACCCACGAATCTCGCTTCCCCACGAGTGCAGGGGGGCTGGATGAGATCCAGGCCCATAGATCGCTCTTCACCGGGCCAACAGCTGCCAATCACCCACCCACCCACCCTACGGCAAATACCACCTGTGGCGCATGTCGCAGTCTATCAAGCCGCAGCATCAAGCCGCAAGAGTAATCCGCGCCTCTGCATCGCCCTCCAGCTTCGGCGCCGACCCGTCTCTGTCCCCTTCGCCCGCCTCCTGCTGCTCGGCCAGATGCTTCTCTTCAGCTGATGTGATGCAGTGTGTGTTCGCGCCTACCAAACAGCGGTCAGCTCTGTGCGTTTGACTCGGGGGAGACGACAAAAGGAATAATTAAGCTCACCCAACTTATTGATCGTCTCCATCCACTCATCGTAGGGGTCCGAGTCGAAAACTATGCCGCCCTGCAGCCAATCATTAGCCTCGTGTCTTGCAGCTAAAGCAGGGAATTCGTTAAACTTACCCCTGCTTGGAGATACGCGATGCCATCTTTGACAAGCATGGTTCTTAGCGCAATGCATGTCTGCAAAAATCAGCCTCCTGTCAACCTGGAACAAGGCAAGACTACTCACGTCCATGGCACCTTCAATCTCCTTGTCGCCATCAATACTGCCGTAGCCAAAGTATCCCACCGCGCCAGCATATACACCGCGTTTTTCCCGCTCCAGCTCAGCAATGAGCTCCATAGCACGCACCTTGGGCGCACCGCTCACCGTGCCTGCGCCGGGTTAGCGATATTTCCAACTTTTTCAACGCGCTACCTACCAGCTGGGAAGATGGAGCGGAATGCGTCGAATCGTGTCTTGCCAGGTCGCAGCACCCCGGACACCTCCGAGACCAGGTGCTGCACGTGGGAAAACTGGTTTTGATTGCAGTTAGCATAGCCCTCAGTTTGATATCATAGCGCTCGCTTGATATCATCGCACGGTAGCTCATCGCATGATCCACGGTAATCACGGTTCGGACGGAACGCTGCTCACCTTTTGGACAACCATTAGCTTGTCAACTCGTGTCGAAAGTGGGTCGCACACGCGATTGACGTCATTGCGAGCCAAGTCGACCAACATAACCTGTACAGCACAATGTAAGCTTCCAACGTCGCTGCATGCACTTTGATGTCAGGCCACCCACATGTTCGGCCCGGTCCTTGAGCGAGTTGGACAATTCGTCTGCGAGTGCTGCATCTTCTTGCAGTGTCTTGCCCCGCTTCACTGTGCCGGCAATGGGGTGCGTGATGATGCGACCCTGCTCCTCTTTTACCAGCAGCTCGGGACTTGCCCCCACTATCTGAAAATCGTCACAGTCGACGAAGAAGAGGTACGGTGAGGGGTTGACGTTACGGAGGTTCCGGTACACGTTGAAGGGGTGCAATGATGTCGGTCTTGCAAACCGTTGCGATGGTACTGCCTGGATAATGTCGCCAACACCAATGTGCTTCTTCAATGTTTTGACGTGGTTCTCGTACCCCTCCTGGCCAATGTTCGATGTGTACTGATGGTCTAGCTGTATAGGCCCTTGTTCCGGTAGCGGGATGTCCTTGTCCTTGAGTATCGTCATATACCTCTTTAGTGTACTCTTCGCTTCCTCGTACGCTTGTTCTAGGTCGTCAATGCTGTCTGGGACCTTGACGTACGTTATGACCTTTACGACCTGCGCGAAATGGTCCAGAGCCACCAGGGTATCGAAGAGCATGAAGAAGCTCTCTGGTACACCCAGCACATCCTTCATGTCATCTCGCCGTGTCTTGGGCTCGAAGTATTTGACGCAATCATAGCCAACATATCCCACCGCGCCGCCGGTCATAGGAGGTAGTTGTATCGAGGGTACGGTCGCGA